TGCTCAACTGGTAGTGGGGTCACTCGGTGCAACAAATACTCTTGATACAAATACACCAACTCGCTGCTGCCTCATTTAAACGTTGGGAAAAGGCTACGACTGATTTTATCCTAATCTTGCATTCAGAATTTTGACTCACAAAACTCTTCAAAACTCCTCCACCAGAAGCCCGCAGCAGATAGCAAAGGTAGATTTGGAATCAGCGTTTCAAGCTTTACAAGAGTGCGCATCTCATTTCAAAAGGCCGCTTTGACCAACCTTCCTTCCCTTGTTAATAGCGGGAAACCGCGGCGCGGTCCCGAATCGCGCGCATGCTGCTAGCACCTTCAATTACTCGTTCACTAGTAATATAGTTATGAGTGGTTTTTTGCTTGCCGTTAGCTAAGAGACTTATCTGTTTTGTGAGATGTAGTTCAAAGTTATGGCTTAGAATCACCACCTCTTGATTGGAGATCCCCAGTTTGTATCTGGACGTTAGTGTGCTTGAACGTAGAGAAACGTGTGACTCCACCCTAGAGTTTTTTTCTGTTGCAAAGTTGATCTTGTTCATCTAGCGCAGCTAAAATCGTTGCTGTCATCTTCAAACTTTTCTGACAAAATATAATAGCGTATGGCATCACAACAGAATTTCTCCGAGGTGTTCTCATATATGTTAGCTCGAAAGCAAAGGCCGCGTCAACCTTACATTGCATATTCTCTTCGCTTCTTCATAGTATTGCTGGTGATCCATGTCGATGGTTGGCGTGAGGACAATTGACAGACATTGTCGAGCGCATTTTTTGGCGCTCCGATTCATTGATCATTGTCGTACTCAACGATGCATACTTTAACGACCATAAAACAATTAAAATCATAGGTTATGTAGCCTGCTAAGGTGATTGTCTTCCTTTTCTTTGAGATCACGATCTTCCAGTCATTTCGCCATATCTCAAAGTCCTAAGCTGTCCTCTATTCCTGCATCCGAAGACCATATTCTCTTTCCTATCTTTCTCATCTTGTCTTAGGCGAGAATTCCTGGCGGTAGCCTAACCGCTATGGTCGGAGTGTCCTTTCACGTCGAACAATGGAATGTTTACTAATGATAATAGAACACCTCAGCGAAAGGTGGTATAGCCGTTGTATGGGCCAAGATGGGTCATTCGTGGCAACTGAACAAACAATTATCGTATGATCTCAAATAGTGGAGAAAGTATCATCCGTTCTGTAATGGATAGCTTAACACCCTGAATGAGACTGGCGCTACCTGTAGGAATCCTTTGGTTGGATAATGCTCCAACCAGCTGAAGCATGAAAACTCAGGTCGGCCGCTTATGGTTCAGTATTTTGGTTTTGAGGGATTTCTGACGTATTAAGTAACTTGTTATCACTCTTGCTCATATACCACTAAAAATTTAAAAAATGGCTTTATGTGCTCACTGTTGGTTCTATTACAGTTCGCATAGACACTTCATTCTAAGCAGACTTTTTTTTTCGAGAGTAAAAACAGTTGCCGGAATACATATCAGATTGTTCTTCTTTTTGAAGTCATGGGTTTGCTGCGACTTTCGCTTGATAAGTTCAAACGCTGAGAAAATGGTTGTTTCGAATTTTTTGAATGTATTCATCTTCAAGATATCATAAAGAAAGCACCAAATTTCTATTCATATCTCATCAAATTTGTGATTTATGTTATGAAAGCATTTGGCAACATCGGAAGACGAATACATGGCTAGAGATTTGAGTTTTGCTATTCTCATACTGGTAACTTTGAACCGTTAGGCCCCGCGCATATCTTACACGATTTCAGCCGCGAGATTTGGCAATACTCCAACTGTTTATAACTCATCGTAAGCACTTCGTAAATGAACAGAAGATGGCCCGTTTTGTCGATCTGCGGAAGTTGTACATACTGTGCATTATAGTCTGCAGGTGTTGATTTTGAAGAGATCTGGCAGATTGCCAGATCGCGTAGCGACTGAAATTGCCTGAGGTATGTTCAGGGCCTTAGCTGGTGCAAATTTCTACGTGTGAAAGGTGAAAATATGCGCATGATTTGTGAGAACTTTTTTTGGCTGAGAGAAAATGTAATGTTCAGCTTTAGAATAAGATTAAACATCGTATGAGGTCAAATTCGTTTTTAGGTTTTGATCTATACTTGCTTCTTGTTATATAGGCAAAGAAAATTCTTGTCAAATTTTGTTGATTGTCATACTTTCAAGCTCTTGAAACATAGCTGTTGAAGCCTAAGCATTTGCACAAACTGATCTCTCTTTTTAAGGCTATTTTTTTATGTGAACGTACCCTGATCCATTTTCACGTAGTGTTGCCATTTACACCTCAAAACTGTTGATATTTTAACAGCTGTCAGCCGCGCTAATGCATGGACTCTTGTTTAGACATCAGTCAGACGATGCGCTTCGTAGGGTGTCATGGAATTTGCTGATATCGTACGTTTTGTTCGGAAAAGTTTTTGGAGCTCAACACTATTGGAGAAAATTTACTTGCACCTTCTACATTTCCCGAAACTGGTTACGAGTGCACTGTTGCGGTGCTGTAGTGTCATGTACTACATTCTGCGCGCACCTTCCGGCGCCTTTTGGGCGTACTTCACTGGAGCTTTACTATAATTTTGTTTCAGCCTGTTTAGATCCCTTTCCGTGCAATTGTCTTGCACATACTATGCATAAGGCGTGTGCCATTGTATAGATTTGAGGCAGAAGTTCGGGTTGAAGTGTGAAAACATGAGGGCTGCATAAGCGGCGCAGACCATCTGTGCATGGCGCAATCTCATTACATTAGCACATATGGAAACATCTTCTGCATCATGCGTTCGCAGGCCTCTTACATATGAAGTAGTCTAGTACGAGCAATATGGGCGATTAATTAGAGTCACTCGTTGGTTACTCTTAACTGAATACTTGAAGCTTAGTGCATGTAAAGGAAGCTGTTCTAGTTCAGAGTTGGTCCTTGTCGTCCACACCTGTGGTTCATTTGGTTTGCGCAAACAAGGCAATTACGTTTGTTTTCTTTTGCAGATTTCTCACTTAATGAGCTTCTTAGCGGAACTGATTTGAGGTTGCTCAAAAGTTCCATCTCCATCTCTTGAAGCTATCAAAGTTGCAGTTTCCTCTCATATAGGTCAAAATTCCGTACTCATGGATACATATGTTTCACCTTGTAGACGTGTAGGACGCATTGATGGCTGGAGCGCGACTGTCACGTAATTCCTTTCACACGAAACCTCCCTACCTAGTTACTGCATATGAAACCATGTTCAGGTGGACCCTCACTTGAGGTGCAAATGCGGACAGCTGCATCAGTTTTCTGTGATCCCTTGGAAAAAGTCTTGAGTCATTACTGCACTATGCTATGCGTGGTCGACATTGGCGCAGGTCTGCAACACGTAATTACCGTACACCCACCGCTGCAGTGATTACGGATTATAACCGCAAGTTGGTGGTCGCTCGCGCGTAAGCTAATTGGATATTCTGCTGAGTGCTGCCAATCTCGGATTCCTTGCGAATATAAGTCAAGCAAGGCCAGCTGAGTACTGGGTAAAGCTTTGCCAAAATCTTGATTTCAAAATAGTGCAAATGACTGATCAGTATGGAGTCTTGCTTTTGCATTGATTGTGTAATTGCAAATACTGTCAGCAACAGCGTTTTCCTTTCTTCCTTCATTACCCGTTTTTGTTTGTTGTTTTTCAGCGGTAAGGTCCATTAAAGTCACTTTTTATGCTAAGAATATGAGGTTGTTTCGGTCTTTCGTCACTCCCTCATAAGCAGCAATAATTATTCCTCCGCTCATCGCCGTCTGAACTTACGCTTCAAATGTAATTAGCCACCTCTCAAGAGTACGATGACGGCACACTCGTTATACGCCGAGGTTACAACGTTCTCGCTCAGTAACGTAACAACTGGTTTCCCAAATACGCCCTCAAACGTCTACCTCGTTTATTGCCTATTCTTTCGCGCAGCTTTGACATACACATAGTATAGCTAGAAAGTAATACGTAAACAAAAGCGCAGAAAGAGAGGAAATTAGCAAGTTGTTCAAATATCGTTTGGATGGATCAATGATGAGTGAGGTTATGCAAAAAAATCAGTCGATCCAGTATACTTGAAAATTTAGTCATGTTGGTTCAGTACAAATTTTCCGCAATTTTGGACGATTTTTTGAATAGTCGTATGTGAAGCCACGGTGTTTTTTTTGTAACTTAAAAGTGAAAACCATTAGTCAGATTATGCGAACGCCAAATTTTGCAATCAGTAACTTCCACAGTCACCATTTCGTTGCTAATTTCTTGCCTAGAACCTCAGCTGCTACAGTAAGTTCTCCAAGATAGCATCTGGCAAGTTGTGCAGCACTTGCGCTTTGTTTCCACCCACCACGGCTGTCCCTCTAACCCTAATTAGGCATGCGTTTTTCTGTCCTCAGTGAGATATATAACCCTCATAAGCGCTTTACCACCGCGCCCCCACACCGAGGTGGTGGGATTTCGGCAATACCGCGCGAGTCCTTGGCGCGCGATTGTCTTTGGACTTTGCAACACGCACGAGGTCACGAATACCGTAACGAGGAATGAGGTGGTTCATCGCATTCGCAGAGGGTCTCTGCTGTTTTTGCATAGGTGACTTATAGTTCGCGCGTGTGTGGCTGCGGGTTCTTGTTTACAGATGGGTGTCGAAGCGTTGGTGTTAATGATGCTGGTGGCAACACTAACGCGAACGACAAACGAACATATGTATGGATACGCAGGCACGAGCTGCGACTCAAACCCCGGTGCACAAACAGACGAGACAAGTGCTCCGGCTGTGAAGAGCGACAGCGCAACTCGCACGTGCACAATAGCGACCAGAGACAGTGAAACCACATTGTTTCTCCGTTCCGTTCGAATACTCGCGTCTGAAAAGTGCTTTCGAACACTGCAGACATCGCTGTCTCCCCAAGAAACATGCAGAATTTTTCGAGAAAAAAAGTTGTAGGATTAGTTACCACACATTTAAAGTCATTCTTTGCAGGAGTCCGTCTATGGTGATGACTATGAAGACATCGGTCCAGCTCCATTCGAACCGATTGGCGCCGAATCGCCTACACCAGTGGTCACGGAACTGCAAGCACCAGTCGAAGAAACACAGATCAGATACATGGATGAATTCTCCCCCCTCAGCGAGAAGAAGAAGCGCAAGTTGGAGGTTCGTTCAGTATCGTATGAAACGTTACGCTTATTTCACATCCCCACTGCGACCATAGCCGCACATTTGCGATTCGTCGTTTGAAAGAATGTCGGTCCGCCTTGTGACTACGAGGGAGAGGAAGCAGCTAGATGTGACGAATACTTGCGCAAGATTGGTTGCATAGGATAACACGGTGTGGACGAGGCGGCGTGCGTTTTACTTCAAGCCAACAATAGCCTCGCTTCCACGCTGTGTTGGCGGTGACGGTGCTAGGTTTGGTGTGTGATTGCATCACTTGAAAAGACTACTAATGGAGTCACTTTGTTCATGTAACGGCCCATGAATTTGCACGCTCTAGAATTGCCTTTCTACCGCAGGATGCGACTTTTCTCGTTGGCTGTCTCGTGAAACTTGCACTGAACAAGCGCCTTGTTGCGTTATTCTATCAAATCTGTGGTGCAGCGAAAATGCGACTTTTCCGTGCAGTCGCGGAAGAATTCTTTAGTGCTGCGCACTATTTGCAACGCATGCCAAGTAGCGGCATTATTGATCGTTTGAGTTTTGAATAGAGGAAGTGAGAAAAGCAAATATGGAAACGTAACAACCAGTTCTTTATGCTGCGCAACTCAGACATTGCCCATGGGCCTCGAAAGTCGTTTACCCTTTTGCGCCTGTTGCATCTGGTTTCTCCGAGAAAAAATAGAGTTTGAGTATTATCGATAGGGATTAAATCGGGCTTTCTTAGGGTAGCCGAGTAGTTGAGGAAGAAGAGCCCGTTGAAGGAGATGAAGATCATCGCTGGTCCAAACGCACGCAGAATGTACTGAACACAATCACAGCAAAACTGCGTTCAGCGGATGATACCCAGGTAATGCAAAGATTTTTATATGTTTTACTTGGTGCGTTTTTGTCAGTTCAGAACTCAGCCAAGTTATTTATGTCGAGGGTCAGTGCAAGAATTTTTCGATAATAAAGGCGGTACAGTGTCATCTTCACACACATAGTTTCTCAGAAAACCTATCTACAAGCTGTCGCGGAGCTATTTAGTTTCTCGAAAATATGCTCCTGACGATTGTAGAATGGCTTGCTTAGACTGAATTTTCGCACAAGGTAGAAAAATTTGAAATATAATAAAGAGGGCAACATCTGCTTGGCTGTAATAGCTCAATATATAAATATAATTAGGCCTTATAGTTTTTCCTATGCACATTCATGTTGCATCGTACCTTTGAAAACCCACCCACTGCGCTTCACCCATCCCTGGATGCTTTTCATCGCAAAAACTTCGATTACTAGGTTAATAGGAGTGCAGTAGTGATGATTTTCTTATGTCTACACTGTAATGCTGTAGACGTGAGAACGTTACCATGTTTTGCTATACTTGTCAGTTAAATAATGCGAGGAATTTATGCCATTTACATCTCTTTGGTTATTAACCTGTGAAACTGATTTTTCTCGCCGTTCGGCTACTTCTAAGCCAAAAAAAAATTATTTTCTATAGTGGCTAGGCTGGTGCGCAAGTTAGAGTGTGGATATAGAAATTACACTTACAGGTTGACATTTGAGCTTGCTGAATAAACCAGAACTTTTAATTTTCTGCACGATTGGTTTTATAGGATAGGACCATCTATACAGACTTCAAATTTGCCTAATCTTGAGCTACCTTCCATCTTGTTTTCTTGCGCTTTTGAAAAAAGAAAATCTGGCTGAAAGCGAAGTAAACGGTTGTCAGTGCTCGTGCAGGAAGTGGATGCGTTCTTGTATGTACCGTCTATGCTAATGAATCTTGTCCGTGTTTGATTCTCGCGACATTCGGAGGATACGGTATCGCCAATGAATCTTAGAAGGCCGATGTTACCGGCACATGCGAAGCGATTGCTAATGAGTATATGGATACGATGTGTACGTCGCTCGACGTGCATTGAAAAGAAGGCGATAACGGATGTCAGTGGTGGCGTCATGCTAGAATGCCAGTGATGGATGGTATGTCCTACACCTAAGTGGTGCAGAGTATGACTTGTCAGTGAATTATAAAATACTCTCGATTGATTGCTAGCGCTGAGCAAATTCTAGACCTGCTGATGCCGAAATTGTTGAGGTAGTTAACAGGCTGTAGTTACTCAAAGCTGAACGTAAAGACACCGATTGATCAGTTCTGAAACCGCTTAACTGAGATTTAAGTGTAAAGTACACGTATAAGGGCATAAATTTTCACCTTACCATTTCTTTATGCACTATTGACATGCTCTTTCAGATTGCTCTCAACGACCTTCTGACGAAGGGTGCAACTCGAAAGACGGCAGCGCAGAAGTTTTATACACTTCTGGTGTTGAAAAAGTCTCAAGCCATAAACGTGACCCAAAGCGAACCATACGGAGACATCTACATCTCAGCTGGGCCTAACATCTCTCAGACTATGGTCAAATAATGCGGTTATGTACATATCTTGAATGCTAATTTTAACCTACTAATGAAATCCATTTCCAGTTAGTTGCACAGCAGCGTTTTATCTCTTCTTATGAACTAACTGATATAAGTATTGTAACTTGAAGTATTGTCTACATAACATATGTTCATTTCAATTATCTAATCTTGATCTCGTTAAGGAGCTCTCCAATCGTAATGTTGATTTCATTGCCTTGCGTCATTTACTCATTTTTTTGAAATAAACTTTCACAAAATTGTGCTTTGCTGGGTTTTCTTACGATACAATTCTGACTTGTCGCATGGTCTAGGCAACGAGGAATCGATGTGGCTGCATCAGCTCAGCGAACTCTCGGGAGCTCCTCATTTTCACCTTCTCTTTGTTCAAATCCGAGTTCGCGATGAAGAAGTCTTGCTGCGTCGATATGTATGTTTAGGCTGAGTTTAGGGCGTGGTCGGTCTGAATAGGGCGTGATGGGAAGACGACTGGTGCGTGAGCGTGCCTCGCCGGCCTTTGAAAGCGAATACAAAAGACTGAATAGAGGGAATGGAGCGGTGGATTGAAAAGAAACAATGCGCTGTAATGATTGGCGTCCACAATGCGCCGCATAAGCCATTATACAGAGTGTGCGAGACAAATCCTGCGGCTCTTCATGTTCCCGTCTCTGCTGCTTCTGCTTCGTTTCGGCTTCTGAGCAGTAGCTGCTCATCCGACCTGTGCGGCCCGGCTCGCATGCGCTGCTCGAATTCGCACACGAAGGTATGTGTGTGCTGCTGCTGCTGCGCCGTCTTAATCATTTCCGCTATACGGTATCTTGCCCAGTGAGTCACGTCCGAATATTGATATTCTTCGGGCTACAGTAGATTTCAGTCGCACCGAGATCTGCCGATTCGCTGATAAGTCGCCGTTGTCGGGGGTCTTTCCCGGTTCGGCATCTCGGAGCCCTGAACTTTTTGCATGTTATCACAATTTTCACGTCATGCCTTTTTCCTCTCGCTTTTGGGTGGTGTACTCCTTTGTTTCGATTTCTTGCGGTCATATACGTTTCCGAGGGTGGGTACATTGAAATTAGCTTATATTTTCATCTTAACGCCTTCATTGAACCTCATTCAGGAATCGTCTCTCGAAATCGTCGTTTACGGTGCAATTGTCTGTTCAAGGTTCGACGACCATTGATCGTTCTGACCTTGTCCATTTGATGCGACTCGTCACTGTGAATTCATCTGATCCTCAACACGCGTTCAACTCGTGGAACTCACTATATTTACGTGTGTAGTCAGAATCGAACTCATCTCTTCCTAGAACACGTGAACTTTGCCTAATCTCACTTTTTCCTTGCGCAATAAGCCTGTTTGGCTGGTAGTAACCACAGGTTGCATTCCGTCTCTCGACAAGCGACCCAGCTACCTGGCAGATCTTCCCGCACCTCTTTGTGTTCTTGTCGAATAACTGCTACTATTAGTGAAGCGCCTAACTGGTTCTCTCGACTAGCACACACCTACATACATCTCCTCATCTATACCTCTGTTTCTAATGCCGATTCCTTCCCATACTTCGTTCTCTGATTTCGGTGGATTGCAACTATTATCTTTGCTTTTTTCCTCGCTTAGACACGAACTGGCCTCACATGCGGTATCGTTAACAAATGCTACTTCACCGCTAATCATGCCGCATATGTGCTCTCTTTATTAACGCGTCTATACATTCGTTCATTACGAGCCGCATGTTAGATGAGCCGAGCTAAGAGCAGTGAAGCATAAGTCTGTCTGTAGAGCTTTTCCGATTTGTTTTTTGTTGACGAATATGCACGAGACCTAGAAGTTCTTTCTTTCTTAACATGCGAGAAAAATATGTTTTTGGCTTAGTTTTCATTGTTTTGCGTTTATTATGTGATTTGCAGCTTTTTTGCAAGGCTTGATTTTTCACACCTTTCCCTTCTGTAGAGTTCATTATTATTGATCTATTAAATGTGGACAAATATTTGAAACGTACCACCTCGGCTATGGCAGCCGGCTATACTAACAAACAGGTGTGCAACGATTGCAATCCCGTGTTCTTCTAGTTGCTGCAAAACCCAGTGATAGGCTCATGACTTTCTTGAGAACCGAATCCACGCAGTTGCTTGTTTTTGATAGTGCAAATTAGACAATTTATGGCGTGTTGTCGGAGTAAGCGCGCATCAATCTCTGCTTCGTCTCATTACAATTTGCTTGCTTTTCGATGTAAAGTGCCCCGGGATATTTCCATAATTGAGAGCTGCGAGCGTAACTCCAATTAAAATAACAAGTTCAATTATCGATAAAACAGTCCTCACTTCATGCAATGGCAGTGCGAGATGTGAGTTTATCCTTGCTATCTGAATCTCACTCTCTGCCTTTTCTCTTATCAAGATTTCTCAACTTACACGGAAGGTGATATTTCCTTCAGTCCCGTGTGCGTAGTAGCTTGCTTTCGCTCAATCATCACCCACTAGTTATCTATTCGTAGCGGCTTATTTGTGTCGATCATCACTAATGAGCAAAGAGACTTCTTTCCTCAACTGGTATACTGTAGTTTCGTTGAATCGATTCATCCCGTTTTACTGCCGGGTAAACAAGAGTTGACTTCGTCTTGACAAACACTGGCATAAGAGTGGGTGAACGTGAAGGGGAAATGAAAACTATCGGTCGATCTGGATGTGTAGTAGAGGCGCTACAGTTCGGTGTACGTTTCAGCGAGAGCCTTGCTCGCTCATGCTATTCACCAACTTCATTTTTCAACGAGTCGCTTCTTTTTGTGCAGTGGTAGATCGAATTAAAAATAGCCTTCAAACTCTTTCAGATATTTTATCCTAGTTTTTTTATTCATTAATTGCTCATAGCTTATCTACGAGAAGATGCCCTAATATCTCTCAATTCCTCCTTCACGTATGCATATCAACCAGAATTACAACCAGAGCAGTCAACTGGCGACACCTCTCTGCACCACCATACGATTATCTCGCGATTAGGGGATTTTGGAAGTCGCGGCCTTCAGTCCTAAACGGATTGAGGATTACTTTTATTGGTCTTGTTCTCTGAAATACGGGGCGCGGTGCGAATTGTTGAAGTATACTGTGACTTCGTAGTGACAAGGAAAAATCTTACAACGTCTTTGGCTCGTTTGTGATGAATTTTTGCAAGCAAAGACGGAAAACTGCAGATAACGCAACATTTCAAATTCACAGTATGTAACTCTCACATCAAAGCAGTAGCTATTCATCCTTTTCATGTTTTTGTGCCTTTTACAACTGATCATTTCTATCAGATTGATTTGAGTTTTCATCCGCTTATGGCCTATTATCTAATATCTATGTGTTCCAACAGAACTTTTTAAAAGTGGAAAACTTTCAAGATCTAGCGCAGATTGTTTATGAGATTTATTTTTTCAGTAAAAGTCGCCTATTTTTCATTATCACTGAGTGCTAAAGAATGTGTGTGTTGCAATGCTTTCCCTAGTAACGCTGTGTTTTTCACTACTTTCTTCTGGCGGAATCTGCCTAAACCTGTCGCAGGCCGCAAAAATTGCCTCAAAAAATCGTCTCTGAAGTGCACTGTGAGCCGCTGAAATGCGGAATCAGCCTCAATAGGGTAATAACGCGGTGTTAGTGTCAGATTTCATTAGCTTAGCAAGTCGTTGCCTGTGAATAACAACGTAAACCGTGCCACCAGCAGCGAATCTCATTAGCACCTAGAGGCGTCCTGGCTTAGACGGTAGAGAACCACGCCCACTGGCCGCCGTTATTGGCCGCCCGCGGTCGCCCCTCCTACTTTTGTTGGGGCGCACTCAGGCGCCGATCTTCTATTGTGTTGGTGTGGTTGTGTCGAGCCCGTTCCGCCTCTACCGATAATATCTCGCATTGTGTGAATTTTTTCTTATTTTCTACATCATAGCATCATCTGCAATGATGAGCATGATGGAGCACGAACTTAAGCAGGTATGCCACTTTTTCGCCTCTCTCCGATGCTCGAGTTTTTGATCGCGAACGAGCTTCTGTGTTGCTTAGCAGATGACCGACTACAATCAAATATGGAGCGGTGTGGGAGGATTTCATCTTCCACCCACTTCCTCTAGTCAGCTCATGGCCCAGGCAATGCCCGATGATCTCTCTCCCGGTCCTGACTCGCCGGACTCAGCGAAGGACAGCAAGAAAAATGACGACAGGTTGATTATTTATTGTTTCTATCTATGCCTCCTAGTTTTGCTTTCACGCTTTTATTCACCAAAGAACACAATCCCATTGCTTCCCACTATCGCTTCGCTCCACTTCAATCAGTCTTAATACAACACATTGTATGCAAAACTTGGCAGGAGTTTTGAATGCTCCTGCTGTCTTCTTACACAAGTCATTATAGTGAATGCGATGAATACAATCTAGGGGACAATTCGAGCTTTTTTTAAGTCTCTTTTTGCTCCCACGTTTTTTCTGTCCAGAACGCTCCCAAGCGCAACCATTCCATCAAGCGACAGTCCATTAACATCTTTATTTGTTTTGATTATTGCCTCATTTTGAATATTTATAGAGTAAAGCGTCCGATGAATGCTTTCATGGTCTGGAGCCGAAGTAAACGCAGACTTATGGCTCAAGTGAGGATTGCTGTCATTTGTCTTAGGATGTAAATTAGCTCTAATTGTTTCCCATTTTGAAGGAAAACCCAAAAATGCACAATTCCGAGATAAGCAAAAGGCTTGGAGCCGAATGGAAATGCTTGAGTGACAATGAGAAAAGACCGTTTATTGACGAGGCTAAGCGACTGCGCTCCATCCACATGAAGGTAACTTGCTTGTTATTATAATTGAGCCTCAGTGTAATCATAAAAGATTAAAGATAAGGATAATGTGCTTTTTACATTCACTGAGGACATTTTGCAGAATCAAGCACTAAGCTATTTTTTAGGAGCACCCTGACTACAAATATCGCCCAAGAAGAAAAACTAAAGCTCTCCAGAAGAAACCGCTGCCCATGGGTGCTTTTTCAGCACTGGACTCACTGAAACCACAGGTTTGTCCGCTTTTCATCCCTTCTCCAACGCTAGTGAAAATGTTGAGTTGCCGAGCGTGCCCATGGATCGTGGAATAGTTATCACCTAGACTTTCAACTTTGCGAGGGGTTTTACGCAATCAATGTTGCGCCACTGCGCTGTCTGAATGCTGCTTTGTTCTCGACCCACTCACTTGAATACTTCACCCCACTTCATCGATTTCCCACCACATACAGCCACTTTGATTTGATATTCGTGGTGACGAACAGCTCTGCTTGCAGGTGTACAACTCGGTGTCCTCGTGGAACGGCAGCAACGGCTACGCGTTCGACCCGTCGTACGGGCTGTACCCGCGGACCGGCTACGAGATGCTCAACCAGCTGCCCTACCTGGAGAGCAGCCCGTCGCAGTACAACCAGTCGCCGCTCGGCAGCACCTACCCGATGAACTATCTCACGCCTGCCCCGGTGGTCAAGGCGGAGGTCGAGGTGTCGCCCGAGAACTCGGAGATCTCGCTCGACCCCGCTCAGTTCCGAGCCTTCTACGACCCTTCTAAAGATCCTATGACTTCGATGTACTCTAATCCACTGTCTTATTCGTCTCTGGAGAGCATGGGCCTCACGCAGCCCATGCCCCAGCCTCATGTCACATCCTAGGTGATCAACGGGTTCAAGGACGTCTTTGATCCAGCTTCACTCGTCTCTCTGGGTTACTTGTTTCATTAACATATTATTAGATTATTAGGTTAGGGTGAATGAAGATGGTCCATGTAAAGAGCTCGCTCACTGTGCCACTGCTAGCGTTTGCATCGAACCCTAGCTGAAAGAAAACTCAATTGCCTCACAACGTATATTTATTGTGTATGTGATAAAGTCTCAGTGTCATATCATACCTCTTAGCTGAGTATTTCATAAAAGTACGCAATGAATGATGATGATAAGCGTAAGCACAAACTGGCACAGCACATCTAACAATAAGGTACTTGGCTTTACTTGTGTACAGTATGTTTGTTCTTCGATACTTATTACATGGCTGTGCTAAGTTTTCTTCTTAGGACCAATTTCGTTTTACCATCATTGCTCGCAGATTCTATGAAAAGTACTATGTTATATTTCTTTCTTGTGCCGTTCATGTTGTATCTAGATGGTATTCATCTTTTTTCTTCTTGGAAATATTCAGTCTAAAATTGGTTCTAGCCTTGTTGAGTCATCCGTTGGCATTCAATAAATCGAGAGGATTGTCCAATATGCAGATTACAGCTACTTACTCTCATTACCTGTAGAGGCATGGGAAGCCGTGCGGCTGCCGCGCAGATCAGACGTGCGATGCCTGTTGACGGCACCCCGGGTGGAATTCCCGAAAGTGGTTCCCGGCACCATCGTGCTAAGTCGCGTTCTCATGAGACAATCCTCTGAGGGAAAACATCTGTACAGTGCGTGATACCTGTGGAAAAACAATTGTGTTGCTCGAATGCCGCTGACTCTGCGCTGAGAGAACGAGAGCGGGACTTTTCTACTGGCCGGAAAACGAGTGCATTGCGAGCATGTTAATGTGGGCACGAGGCTCTCATTGGTTGACACCAAGTCTCGTTAGAACTCTGGAATGGGGCCTAGTAATTGACATTTCCCTACGGGCTACGTGGTCTGATACATCGGTGTGCGATTTAATTTCACACTGGAATGCATAACTGCGTCATGCAAAGGCAAACTGAAAAAAAACTGTCCGAAGTTTGTGTACGTGTATATAGCTACGCATGTATAAATATAAATATATGTGAGGACTAAAAATTGGCTAGACGGGACATTGTGAACGAATCGCGCGACGGGGGATCGTATTTCTATGTATTTTGCAGCAGCAAACCGGGAGACGCTCACGAAGCATAGTTTTAGAGCAGAGCCGAGCCGGTCGAGTGCTTCACCTGGATCCACTTGAATTATCCGAACTTTGCTACTTCTGACATATCGAAACGCTCGCTTCTGCTTGTCGGAGTTAGAGAAGACAGTGTGACGAAGTGGGTTCAAACAATAGTTGCATAGAAGCGATTCCCATGCTAAGCAGATGTGTGTCGACCCAAAGAAGTACGGCGCTGCCTTTGTGATGCCATTTCCTCTTAGTTTGAATCATAATTGTCGCGAGACTCGTACCCACTGCTACTAAAACTGACTCAAAAACCAGCAAAAGAAGCCCTACATTGTATGCGTACACAGGCTTTTTTCCTGTAAAACAAAAGAAATCGGTGGGGCGGCGGTGAGATAATGATGAGGGACTTGTGGCAGAGTATTGCTGGCAGATCTCCATCTCCATTCGATGCTACCATCTTCGTAGGTAGAGCTCACTCCTGCGTCATAACTCTTCCCATACAATAGACGCGAAAACAACATCGGCGCTTACGTCAGCCAGGTGTGTTGGGCCTGTGCTCACGTGTAGAAGTGTTTAATATCCAGCCGTGTGCTTCGACTCGAAGCGGGGAAACGCCGCGGGGCGTCCTAAAACCGCGCTAATCATGTTTTGATTTTACTCTTGACTATCGTATACGTGCACCAATTTGCGGCTCATTTCCTACCGTAATCCAAGCCGGCACAACTGGTTGAATAACATCGGGGAACGGTGATAACTGATATGTTTAAAGTGCAGCGAGTGGCGAGCCGAGTTGAACTTTACAGACAGAGTTAGTATGAGAGCTGTGGACACCCGTTTGATGAACTTTTGCATTGTGGCTAGGTCTTCACAGGGGAGCATTTTACACCTCCACACAAATAACATGGATTCTCTTTTTTCCTCTTCTGCTGAGACGGCAAGGGATTATCTACTGTGGAGGAGTTCATGAGCGATTATCATGCTAATGAGAAGAGCCAATGATGGATTAGGCTAAGTGGACCTGTGAGGTGCCTTCGACAAGGAAAAAGCTACAATCTCCCAATGCAGAAATAAACTTCGTGCCAATCTATCATGGTCAGTTTGTAATGGGCTGTCAGAATAAGGAGACACATTGGTCTGGTTGTACCTAACATCTGCCTCAGCCACAGCGGTGCTTGAGTCGGCTCTTGAGCGCTGACTTCTAAGGAACTGTTCGGTGGACACCGAAATAACGCCAGAAAAACAAAGCATCTTGTATCGACGAGCGTATTGTTCATGCACTGCAATTACGATCGGCATACCTGGAAGGGGAAACGAAGGTGCCACCGTAACCTCTATGCGGGGTGCCAACCCCCTACTAATTAGTCTCGCCCCATTGTTCGCAGACCAATTGCCTAGTCCACAGGTCGGTCAACCACAATTGGCGAAACCGTAATCAAGAGGATTACCTTTAGTTGCTAACTAGCACTCATGCATAAAGCCGTTTTCACTCGTGCCGTAGCGTTCCTCGGCGCTGCTGGCGCGGCTGTAAGGTGCGCTGACTGTCACCGAGGCATTTCGGACTCGGTCGGGCTCCGAGCACCGGTGCGCGGACGGAGTTGGGGGGCGAGAGCGAGGCGACGGATGCATCATTCCCCTGCTTTGTGCTGTGCTGCAATCTCGACAACAACGCAGGTAAACGCCGTCAAAAGTAACGAAATCGATGACGAGCGTTTGCAGCTAGGCGCCGATTCGACAGTCGGGAACATCCTGCTGGTTTTGTTTACGAAACGAGATCGATACTCAATCACTATTTAATATCGCTTCCATTGTACAGCTTCGTAGCTGCAGCCTACATCACCATTGAATGGAGTGCCCGAAATAGGGCATTCGAGGGCAACTCGCGCGCGCCTCACCTGCTCGGCCGAGCACTTCAGCCCCGATCCGGGAGCTGTGCTCGGTGAAGTATTGCCAGTGAGAGCGATTACAGAATACTGCTGGAAAGGCTAACAATTGCTCTCTAATTGCTAGATTACATGCGTGGCGCGACAGCAAAGAGAACCGAGCTGCTACGAGGTGTAATCCGGCTGTGCCCTTTTACCATTCCGCTTCCGTGGCAACGTCTTCTGCCACTAATGAACACACATAAAACGTCATCAGCACCAACCACTAGCCATTAGGGGCAGGAAAATAAAGTGAAGATGAGATATGGAATCTGTTCAGGTTATTTGCACCATTGAGTCTATGATGTTGAGGTTTTTTCACTTTGCCATAGCTGAAGCCCAAAATCGTCGCAGTTTGGGGCTCATGAACGTACAGTAAGTTCAGAGCAGGATTATATGTAAATGATTGTTTGAGAAGACGTTTACCTACTTGCGTAGTAGGAGGATTATTGCTGGATAAGCAGGAATTCAAGCAAAAATCTGTTTGGAGTTTTTGTGATGTGCCTACGAGAACCGATAGGCCTAATTGTAGGGAGGTGTTCACCATATGTTGTGCTCTGCTAAACGTCTACAAGTGTTGTGGTAAGGACCATCTAGTTTAAATGAACAAGGTTATTTCGGGTTGAATCGAGCTTCTTGTGACTTGAAAGTGTCATCGTGCCGCATCCAAAAAGAGAAATTTCAAATGTTTCAGAACTGGGGTCTCGTAGTTTGTGCCTTGTGAAAGCAAAAAGGAGGAGGTAGATGAAGCTTATGGGGAGACTAGAAAAACAAGAAAACAAGCCGAAGTGGTAAATTAAGACGGTCTACTTGCTAGGGAAAAATTTGAAAATAAAGGATAATAAATGGTCAATATGTGAAAACTGTTGGTATGAATGTGAAGAGCCAATCATGTTCGGGACTATGAAATGTGGTGATTCTTTGGTGTAATTCACAGTCGAAATGGACGACATGTACTGTTAATTAGGGAAAACTGCCATTACTGCTTGAATTACTGTTTAGTTGCTTGAGTTTTCACAATTCACATTTTCGCGCAAAATTAGCTAGCTCGGCTCCAACTGTTGACGCGTCAAACAACAAACTTCGCACTTCCTGCTCATGAAAACAATGATGTATGTGCTCAAGGTTATAAATATTGCTGTCCGCTGGGATAAATGGCGCATCCGCAATAAATTAAGCTTTGGATATGCGTGTTGCGCCATGTTCGCCCATTAACCTGCTTCTTGGAGCATAACGCATGCATATTGCGAACGAACGTGCGTGGCGCGCGCACAAGCGCTGCTTGGGATGCCCAAATAAAGGCGATCATTTGTCAATATTGTTATGTAAGGAGCAATGTTGTCGAGTACCAACCGTGATGGTCCGCGTTAGGTACAGATTCTTTTGCATGTGGCCTGCAGCACCTTCCATTTGAGAAACCCGAATTTCTCCAGAGATTGTGGGCTAGTAACCAATTAGGCAGCCCCTTTTCACAGTCTCAAGGTAAGCTCTGTTTTCTCCATCAAAAGGAAGTGAAAACTGTGACCGTAGGGGAAGAAGTTACTAGCGAGTAAGAACTTTTACTAGGTTCAATAAAATTCTGCTTGTTAGATATACCTTTACAACTGTCTTATCAGGTATACGAATCGTTTCACTAGTTCTTCTTTGTTGAACACTTTCTAAGAACAGGCTATCGATGTTACATTAATGAACAAATATTTTGCCAATGAAATCAAAGTTTCTCCAACTTTGGTTGAGCTCTATTCATCCTGGCGGCACACTAGGAGTGATGAGTGGGCCTTTTGTCTGCCAAGACATAGTCATCTTGCTCAAAAATTGACGAGATGGCACGAAAGACTTCGTCTTGACGTTTTTTCGCAGCTATCTTAAGCGGAACCTTCCAAGTAGAACAGTGAGAAGCGTCCGGGTAGGGTGTTTGTGAAGCAAATTACTGAAATTGTGCTATTGCTGTAAGTGGCACGACTAAGTAAACCGTAAATAACATGTGAATTGTAATTTGCGAATTCCCTTCATTCTGGTCAAATATCATGAGATATATTTGCCACAGGTTCGAATGGAAGAAAGAATAAGCGCCCACAAACAGAATCAGTCTTACGTTTAGTACTAGCTGAAGTTACCAATATTTTATTCTTCTGTTTCGTAAGCTTTGCGACAATACTTTACGTCTCCATCAAGGCATACTGAGTCTAAGCAAACGAATTCATCGTTCTCATAGAACGAACTTCTCACACCGAACTAACGGAGATATACAAGATCTACGATGCAAGTGAATATTTCCAATTCTCGTCCTACTTTCTACTGTGTAGCCATCATCAAAAGCTTTAGTTCCATCCTTGTGGAATATGCAAAAAGAGTTTTGTATCATGTGATTAAACAAGTACTCGTAAGTACACCAATCTAGCAATGCCCTTTCCTATTCATGCCGAACTGCGTCTACCTAGCCGTGACTACGGTACACAGCAA